CGGGTGGGGCCGGCCGGGGAGATAAGGGCCTCCCAGCCCTATGAATTATTCACCGCCTCTGCCTCCTCCGGCTCGCTGGCCGCCCTGGGCGCTGAGATTGCGCCTTCCACAGGCGCCGGTTAGGGTGGGAGGGGGCCCGCTGGGAAGGGCAGCGGACTGGAGAAGTCCTGCTAGGTGGTGAAGGATTGTGCTTGGCTTGTAACAGCTCCGAGACTCCAGCGCCCTAAGGACTAACTGATGGAAGGAAAGGAAAACGTGCACACGCGCGCGCACACACATATACACACGTGCACGCGCGAGCAGGAGCACGAGCGCACACATACGCAGGCATACACACACCCTGCCTAACACAGCCAGGACTCCCAGAGAAGGCTCTTCATTTATGCAAATTCCTTAAATGCTGTTTCGTCAGCTGCACCAACCAGGTTCACTCCAGGTCTCTGCATCCCACAGTCAGAAATGCAGTCTCTCCCCCAGGGGATGTCCTGGATACTGTGCCCCCTGCTGCAGGCCAGCAAGTGAAGGACTGGAGCATGCATGCTTAGGCCCACCTCATCCAGAGTACTTCCCCCCCTCTCTCTGGAAGTCAAGGCAACCCCTGCTTACTCTGGGACACCCCATGTGAAGCAGGCACTAGAGGATCTGTTCCCAAGCAGCTATGGTACCCAATGTAGAGAAGGCCAGGCAGACAGTACAGGGGGGACCTGGAAATCAGGTAAAAAATAAACCAGGGAGGTTTCTGGAGTAAGAACAACCCCTGGCACCAGCTCTCACCCCTCAAAGACCCAGACTTTCCAGTGACAGAAAGGACACAGGGAACACTGCCCGGTCTCACTGACTCCAGCTCTCCTCACCTACCAGGTCCCTCTCCACGAATCTGCCTTTTAATCTCCACCTTGCCCCTCCTCCTTAATGATCTTTCCCTTGAAAAGCTATGATGTCAGAAAATGACATGTTGACACATAAGTCAGACTATGTGGTAGGGGAGAGGTGGCCATCTTCCGGACCCTATCCCAGTTTGGAGGGGGGGAGAGGAAAATAAAGGTTCAAACTGTGGCTGCCCTAACAGGGGCAACAGCACGGGGCAAATCGCCTCCACCTCCTGCCCCATATCCCATTTGCCCCATACACTGGCACAAATAAGAGCCCTTGAGCGGACCAGAGATCCAGGAGTCAGAAAGGCCAGAGGAGGATGCTCCAGGACTGCCAGGGCAGACACTGGGACCTGGCAGGCAACCATGAAGCTGCTGATTCCTGTGGCCCATGTGGAGTCCATTCATCAGATCCAAATTCAAGCAGGACAGGAACTGGTGAGGTGGAAGAGGAGAGGAGAGGCACATGGGAGGAGGAAGAGTGAGCCTTGGTGGCAAAGAAGGCGGCTTTGACAAGCAGAGGAGAGGAACGTGGTCAGGAGTGAGCAGAGCATGAGTTAGGAAGGGTGAAGGTGGCAGAGAAGCATCGGAATCGGGCAATAGGAGCATCTGGACCCTAAGACCGAGCCAGCAGGGGAAGAAGGGACGGTCATGGGTGGGGGCACAGAGGGGTGAAGGAGTTGCAGGGATGGGTCCCCAGCCCCTTCCCTGCTGCCTGCTAATTAACTTCTTAATCGCCTCTGCGTTTGCTGAGCTGGCAAAGGAAGTGGATGTAGACAGATTGGGGCGTGCGTGATTTCACGCACGGGGGAGCGAGAAGAGCTGCCTCGGAGTCCCGGGGGACCTCGCCCCCCCCTCGCCCTCCCCTCTTCCCCACCCATCTCTGAAAGGCTGGAGGGTGCTTCTATACATACAGCAGATGGGGCCATATACAAGGAAAGTGTCCATGGGGAATTTGCCCCCATCAGCCTTCCAAGGGTGATCTCGGTGCTTGGCACTACTGTTAGCCAGGCACTCTGTCTTCTCAGCCTAGGCATTAGTTCCATTTTATACTTATGGAGAAACCCAGGTAGACTCAATTTCTTGTCCAGGACCACACAGCATTGGTGTTGCAGATGCATCTAGGAACTGAGGCTCTGGTCAGCAAGATGTCAAAACCTTGGGTGCATAAACCCAGAGACCAGACAGGAGCCGAAGGACTTTAACCTTAGCCACTGGACCCCTCAAGCATCTTCTAACCAAGGCCTTGGCACCACCAACTTCCTGCTGTACAAGACTCTACCAGGATAACTACCTCTCTGCAGAACCCCTAAACCCACCCCCCCACCCCACCCCCATGCCTTTCACAGGTGACCTTTGTTCTAGAATCACTCATCAACAAACTGCTTTGATGCTGAGAGGTCTTGAGGCAAGGGCTGTTCTTGCTCACTCATCCCGGGTGCGGCACAGGGGAAGCTGCAGGAGACATTTACTGCAGTGTAGTGCCAGGAAAGAGTGGCACCCGTGCAGGGTTGTATCTCCCCTCGGTCAACGGCAAACGACAGACTGAGGAGTTTAGGTTAAGTGTGAAAACTGAGCTCCAGAGGCTAGGGATTGTTGTAAGTATATGAAGTCTTGATTCAGACTTACTGGTTCTGAGGAGACTTAGAGGTTTTAAGAACCTAGGGTGGAGCTGATGAAAGGCCCAATAGCTCAAAGCCTTGGCTGCTCTGCAGAGGATTCAGATTCAATTCTCAGCACCCACATATTGACTTATAACTGTACACTATTCCAGTTCAGGAGATCTAGCACCCTCCTCTGGCTTCTACAGGTGCCAGGCACTCATGTGATACACAGACATACATGCAAGCAAAATAACCATATACCTAAAAGAAATAATAATTAAAAAAGAAGTTTGGCCATCCAGCCAGGCATGGTGGCTTATACCTCTAATCCCAGCACTCAGGAGGCAGAGGCAAACAGATCTCTGAGTTTGAGACCTGCATGGTCTACCCAGTAAGTTCTAGACCAACCAGGGTGCCACAGTGAGACTGCCTCAAAACAAAACGTTTGGAGATCTGAACTCCACCCACTGAGTGTGAGGTTATTTGATTTAAATTAAACCCATTTGGGTCCATTTGAAAGACTTACCCAACTCTCCGAATTAGGAACTATCGTCTTGAAGTCTGTCCTGATATGGTTATTCCTGTGTTTTTTAACTCCCAGATCTAAATCAGAACGCCAGTAATATTTGTTATTGAGGATTTACTAACACAGATCAATGTAGTATGCATTTTCCATCAGTAATTCACATGATTCTTGAAAAACAAGGTGAAATAAATACAACCTTCATCATACAGAAGAGAACACTGAAGCTCAGAACGGTCAGGGGTCCTGCCGGTGGAGGTATTGAGTGGTGGGAACTGGTCTTGGTATTGGAGCCCAGATACCTGATTCATGCCTTTTATCTTCCTCCAGACTCCTCCTGCGGCTGTTCATTGGCCTCAATCAGTCCTCGCCTGCCTCCACCTCACCTCATCACCTTCCCTCCACCCCCGCTGCTCCCTGCTCCCTCGGTAACATCCCAGGTGATTGAAGCAATTTGCAGCCATTAGAAGAGGCTCCACGTGTCGCTCAGCTTGTGAGGGTTGCAAAGTGGAGGAATTACAGATGTTCCAAGATGGTCCTCCCCTCCCCCGAGGACATTGGAGAGCCTCGATCCAGACTAGACCCAGGGCTAGAATCATCACTTAAACCCAGTTTGCGACTCTCTTAGGGTAATTCCTAGTCTCACAAACCGCCTCCCCCATCGCCCTTTCAGTGGAGTTTATGTATCTGGGAGAGTGCTGTCACCTAGTGGCTGCCCAGGGCCATGGCAGTCCATCAGCACCGCTTGTGCCGCTGGACAGCTCCCCAGCCTGAATGCAAGATTCTATCTTTATTTTGGCAGCTTGGCGCTCTGGGTAATGCTGAATGGACCATAATCTCTCCCCAGCCCTAAGCTCCTATCCCTGGAGATAGGGAATCTCCAGATTTCTTCACTGGTTTCCAGGGTACCTTTTACTCCCAATCCCTCACAAATTCTCATCAGTTTCTTCCCTCTATGTCAGGTTTGTTCCTCTAACTCAAACCCAGAACCATGTCCCTGAGACCTGCTTCTCACCTTCTCTCAGAGCTTCATCAGCCTGTAAGTGGAGCAAAGGAGCTGCTACAGATAGAATTCTGCTCTTGCATCACACACACACACACACACACACACACCATCTGACACCATCAGACCTCAACAGTCTCTGTGTTAAGAGCCCCTAATGAGCATCAGCAAATTAACAACTTCCCCTTGATTGCTCCTTCTCTGCTAATTGGATAGGGAGGGCACCCCCAAGGCCTCGGTGAAGGAAAGAGGGAGGGAAGGAGAGAGGTGACAGCTACAGGAGCAGCTCCCCAGGTTTCAGGGCCCAGATTTCTGGTCCATCCCAGAACACACTTCTCCTTGTAGCCTTTCTTCATTCTGTACCTTTTTTATTCCATTTTCCCCTTCCCTGCTTCTGACCCATCCGTCCTCACTTCAGGCTGTGTCTCTTTTCTTCTCTCTGTTCTTCTCTGCTCTACAGATCTGTCAATGAAGCACCAAACATAGGCTGCTTAAGAAATCCACTGGTATACATATGGGGTCTGGGTGGCCACGGAGGTTTTACATATGTGCATGCGTGTGGGTCGCGTGAAGGTGGGAAGCAGGAATAAGGGCAGGTGAGTGAATGTGTACAGACAGGTAAGTGCTCACGTGGGGGTCAGGCTTCGGGGATGTGTAGGTGTGTGTGATGTGTGATGTATGGCTCTGTGGCAGGGTAAGACTCTGGTCTGAATGTGTCTGTATCTCCACACAGGCAAGGGCTTGATCAGTCAAGTGTGACTGTGACTCGGAGTGCGTGTGTGTGTGTGTGTGTCCCTGTACACACGTGTGCATGTGCCACCAGAGGAAGCAGCAGCAGCAAAAGGCAGGAGCTTTGATCCGAAGGAGACAACGTGGGGAGGGGGACGCTGGGGGCAGACACCCTCCTTCCTGCGCGCACACGTGCGCGTGCACACACACACCATAGTCACACACACACACACCATAGTCACACACACACACCATAGTCTCAGACACACACACACACACAAGCCACAGGGCCTCGCAAGCAGGGAACCGGCTCCAGAATCCGAGCGAGGCAGCTTTGCTGAGAGCGGCGGGAGGAGGCGAGCCAGCGGGGGGGAGCCCTCGGTTCCGCTCCCGGGCCGGGGGCCCCCCGCGCACACCGGCCCAGAGACACCCTCGCAGACACTCGTAGGCGCGCACGCGCACCCTTTCCCCTCCTCCTCCCCTCCCGCCGCCTCCCGGCCGGACGATGGATCCCTGCAGATCCCGGGGCTGAGAGCACCGCGCAGCGCCAGCGCGCCGAGCCCGGGGCGGACCGAACCGAGCGAGCAAGCGCGCGCGGGCGGCGGACCGAGCTGAGCCGAGCCGGCCGGGCGGGCCGCTCCCTGCAGGGCTCTACGCGGGTGCCGCGGCGGCCGGCGGCTCGGGCTCCGGGCCATGAGCCCCTCCGCGGCGCGGCGCTGAGCCCACGGACGGCCTCGCGCCCCAGGACCTGCAGCGGCCGCCGGCTTTCCCCAACCCCCTCAGGTGGGTTTCCGACCCCGCCGCCTTGGGCCCCGGGCTCCCCGGCTCCCCGAAACCGAGACTCTCCTCCCCTGTAGCTTTCTCCAGCTTCTCCGGAGGCTCGGCGGATGGGGAGGGGGCGGGGGGCCGAGCCGGGAATCTGACTGCGACGAGAAGCTGGACTGGAGGGGGTGCGTTCGGGGCGGGGACAACTGGCTGTCATAGGGAACCGCGCCCCCCCCCCTTCGTACATCCACCTCAGGCAGCCTACCATCCCCTCCCAAACACACACACACACACACACACACACACACACACAGCCTGCGCCTGTGCCTGTTTGAGAGCTGGAGACACAGAAGGTGAGGATTCAGGCAGGGCCCCTCCCCAGATGTGCCCACCCCTCCGGAGAGGTGGCCCTGGTTTAGCTCCTGAGATGACAGTCTGTTCCTGGGGATACCCTTGATCCAGAGGAGAGCTCCTGACCCCTAGTTCAGCCTATTGTGGGGAGTTTGATCTTGGCTGGGGTAGACATTCCTGTCCCAGAGTGACCTCACATCTGGAGGGAACTCCCATGCCTGCCTGTGGGTGCATCGGGACTTCCCTCATTCACTCTAGTGGCTGTATCTGGGGTCTCCCATAGTCTGGGAAGCTTGCAGACCATTCTCTAGACCCGAGCTGACATCCCGAGCCTCTGTGTTTGAACGACTATCATCTTGGATGGTCCCTCAGCCAAGCCACCTTTGGAACCTGCCTGTCAGGAAAGTCTTCCCTTGGATGAGCAGTGACCTCCGGATAACGATTTTGAATGGACATAATTGGAGGGTCCCTCTATGTGTCTTCATCTCAGGACAATGACAAAGTCTTGTCTCCTCTTTCCTTCTTCCAGGACCCCCTTGGCAAGGATGGAACTGAAGACCGAGGAGGAAGAGGTGGGTGGTGTCCAGCCGGTGAGCATCCAGGCTTTCGCCAGCAGCTCCACGCTGCATGGTCTTGCTCACATCTTCTCCTATGAGCGGCTGTCTCTGAAGCGGGCACTGTGGGCCCTGTGCTTCCTGGGTTCGCTGGCCGTCCTGCTGTGTGTGTGCACAGAACGTGTGCAGTACTACTTCTGCTACCACCACGTCACCAAGCTCGACGAGGTGGCTGCCTCCCAGCTCACCTTCCCTGCGGTCACGCTGTGCAACCTCAATGAGTTTCGATTTAGTCAAGTCTCCAAGAATGACCTGTACCATGCTGGGGAGCTGCTGGCCCTGCTCAACAACAGGTGGGCAGCTCCCATCCACCCCTCTGCATGGCTTGTGGAGTAGCAACCTCCTTAGCCCACCAAAAGTCAACCAGCTCTGCCCTCTAGCATCCCCTTAAACCTGCCACTCACAGGGGAGGAACTGAGATAGCGCCGAGTACCAGTTACTTACACACAATCTCTGATTCCAGCCTAGGTCAAAACAGCTCTATCCCCACCCAGCCTGAGCTAGGAGATATTGGCTCTTTCCCAGAGAGTGTCGCCTACCTCCTGGTATTATATCCTTCTTGCCTCATTTAAAGGGTGGGATGGACCACCTTTAAAGGAGAGAGAGTGTACCATCCGTAGCTCCTGCCTTACAGATCCTTTGTCTTCTTGTATTCCATGGGTCAGGCTCCCCTGACATACCCAGCTCTCCCTCTCTGCCTATCTATGCCCAGATCTGATCCTCCAGGGGCTCTGAGTGCTGCCCCCACCCCACCCCAAGTAGGGCATGGGTACTAGTGATCACCCTGATCCATGCCACTCATCCCCCGGGCTCCAGGTATGAGATACCGGACACACAGATGGCTGATGAAAAGCAGCTAGAGATATTGCAGGACAAGGCCAACTTCCGTAGCTTCAAGCCCAAGCCCTTCAACATGCGTGAGTTCTACGACAGAGCAGGACACGACATTCGAGACATGCTACTCTCCTGCCACTTCCGAGGGGAGGCTTGCAGCGCCGAAGACTTCAAAGTGGTAAGTGAGTCCCCAGTATGGGGCCTGTCACCCTGGTCTCTAGAAGAGGAGGAGATGAGAAGCCCATTTTATGTTTGCTGTTCTGGGAGAGGAAGCCCGGTGTTCTGGGGTTTGCTTCTGGCAGACGGGGACTTTCTTTAGCACGTGGTGCTGACCAGCGTGAAGACTTGAGCCTCAGCTTTTGCATCCATGATGGCAGGGAAGAAAGGCTGTGGTATAGACTATACAAATCACCCATGCATGCATCCCATACACGTGGACACACTTTACCCCGGGCCGCCCTAACTCCTCCAAACTTGCATTCCGGGCCACAGAGGTCCAAGTCAGCAGTGGTAGGTACGCTACAGCCTTGTTACCCAAAAGCAGGCCTGCAAACTGTTGTCTGGGAGCTTGGAAGAAATGAATGGCTTTGCCACTGCGGATTCCTAACCCAACCAAAGCTGAACGTGCGTCAGATGAGATCCCCCTAGTGTGATAGAAGTGCATGTCAAAAGCTTGGGGAGCACAGGGAGTCAGGAAGCTTCCTCGGGACAGCCATAGGGGTCATTGTCTCCACAGCACCCTCACAGAAGGCTGGCATGCACGCACACACACGTGCATACCCACATGCGCACACATTCACGCTCACAAGGGCAGGATAGGTTTCTCCTTGTCATAGTCACACCCAGAGCCAGAGGCTCTAGACGCAATCCAATTACAGCTGAACTGGAGGCTCCCTTTGCTTCTGAAGATGGAGATGCCTTCCCTGCCGTTCATATCACACCCTATCAATATAGAGCCCTCCGGCTCACACCACAGGTTCTGGGGAACTGACTTTGGCAACTGATATACTAGGTGTTCTTGGGAAAAATTCCTCAGGGCTAAAAATCACTCATTGCTGGGTGTTGGGTATATACACATAACGGGCTCTCAGCTACACACACACACACAGCTGGCTGTCAGGTGTATACACATAGCTGGCTGTGGAGTACACACACACAGCTGGCTGTCAGGTGTATACACATAGCTGGCTGTGGAGTACACACACACAGCTGGCTGTCAGGTACACACACATAGCTGGCTATGGGGTACACACACAGTTGGCTGTCAGGTATACACACATAGCTGACTGTGAGGTACACACACACAGCTGGCTGTCAGGTACACACACATAGCTGGCTATGGGGTACACAACTACAATCCCAGCCCTAGGAAGGCTGAGCCTAACTGGAACTTTTGAACCATATAGCTAGACCTTGTCTCAAACAAACCAAAACTATACCCAGATGTGTTGACACATTGGCCCAGCAAAGTCTGAGGCAGGATGAGCAGTTGAGCCTGGGAGTTTGAGACTAGCTTAGGCAACAGAATAAGATTCTTTCCAAAATTAAACAAACAAACAAAATCCTGGATACAATAGCACAGGCCTGCCTGTGATCCTAACACTCGGGAAACTGAGGCAAGAGAATTTTGAGTTCAAGGTACACAATTTGGGATGTAGGGAGTACTTATCTCAAAGTTCACAGAAGAAACACACACACAGAGTGGGGAAGGGGGCAAGAAAAACCCTAAGGATCTGGAGTCTAGACTCTATCAATGCCTTTGCTGCATGACCACGTTATTTTACAAATGCGTAGACAGAGACAGGAAGCAGCAGAATAATTCGCCTCAGCTCACTAGCTAGCTGGTTGATGACAGATCCAGGATTAGAACCCATGTCTCCTAAGGTACCAATGTACTGTGCTCTTATCACCAGGATTGCTGACTCTGAAATTCCCATATCTTTTCCACCATTGAGATTTCTCCCAGAAACCTCTTCCCTTCCGCCTCTTCCTAACTCTCCACTCTCAGTACCTCTCTTGCCTCCCTGACCGTTTTTCTCTTCAACTTGCTTGCTTCCGCTTCGCCTTAGGCAGTGGGAAGGAGACTAGAGCCCTGGGCCTGTTTAACATTTCCTGCTAAGGTTACAGGAGGCTTCCCACTCTCTTTAAGCGCTGCCTTGCAGACCCATTTTGTGGCCTTTGTCAATGCTACGACAAAGGTTACAGGACCAAGATCCTGGCTGAACCTCACCGTTACCCCTGATGCATGTACTTTCTCTTTTACTTTTGCACAACAGGAAAGTCCTGGATTCCCCAGACCTTGAGCCCAGAGGGCTCCCAGGCTCACAAACTGTGTTACTGTAGGTGAAGATAGAAGAGAGAGACAGAGAGACAGAGAGACAGAGACAAAGAGACAGCGAGAGAGAGAGAGAGAGAGAGAGAGAGAGAGAGAGAGAGAGAGAGAGAGAGGAGCTGCCCCTGTCTCAGCATACTGAATATATAACTAGAAAGGAGTGTCGGGGAGAAGAGGAACCTGCTGGCTTAGCTGGTTTGTAGTGTTGGCTGCAGCTGGGAAGAGCATGGCTCAAAACAGGGAGGTGCTAAGATATAAAATACGAATGTAGCCGGGCGGTGGTGGCGCACGCCTTTAATCCCAGCACTCGGGAGGCAGAGGCAGGCGGATTTCTGAGTTCGAGGCCAGCCTGGTCTACAGAGTGAGTTCCAGGACAGCCCGGGCTATACAGAGAAACCCTGTCTCGAAAAAAAAAAAAAAAAAAAAAAAAAAAACAAAAAAAAAATAAAATACGAATGTAGTAAGTTTAGTTGGGGGCTGGTAAGATGGCCCAGTGGGTAGTGGGCTTACTTTCCAGCAAGCCCAATGACCTGGGTTCAACTCCACATGGTGAAAGAGAACCGCCTCCCACAAATTGTCCGCTCACCTCTGCATGAGTACTGTGATGCTTGTTTGCTTGCTTGCTTGCACACACACACACACACACACACACACACACACACACACACACAGAGGTAATGAAATGTCATTGGCCTCTACTGTTTGAGGGAGAATTCTAAGCTATCAGACAGAGATGTGTTAGGTTTGCAGAGTTCAAGAGAAATCCAGGTCCTTTTTTAAAAGGATCAGAGTTTGCTATTTTAATGTGTATGTGCGTTTTCACATGCTTTCACATATTTGTATGAACATGAATATGTGAGCACCCTCAGAGGCTAGGAGAAGGGTGCTGGGTCCTCTGGATCTGGAGTTACAGGCAGTGGTAGGCATCTGATATGAGTGTTGGCTCCTCTGAAGAAGCAGCAAGTATTCTTAACCACCGAGCCCTCTCTCCACCCCCAGTGTGAGTTCTCACTCAGAGGACTGACACAAAGACCAGCATTCTGAAGACCCAACTGTGGCACTTCTTGGTTCTGTATTGTCAGGAAAGACAGGGGTTGTTCTGCTTCTAATGTCTAATGCCTGACCCTGAATCCGTCTGGATCCAAACTCTTCAGCCTTTGCCCACTGCGAGCAGGTTGCCCTCTGCCAGGCTCCTTCCTTATCATGAGCACTGCCCTATCTACCTGTAGGGATCTTCAAGTGACAGCTCGCTGGTGCAGAAGGGCTTGGCTGGCATTCTCCTTAAGCACTCAGTCCTAAGGGGCTCACATTCGGTTCCTCTCCTGTCCTCTCCTTGGTCTCATAATTAACATCTGTCTCCCGGCCTTATCATTCTCTGCTGTGCCTGGTGTATGTGTCAGGGGTCTGGATCTAGACTCCGAGCCAATGTAGCACTAAGAAAAAGCATTTGTCCTCAGGGTCAGGGCCAAGAAGAGACTATCTTGATATCCCTCAATAGCAAAGTGTCTTTTTTTTTTTTGAGATTTTTTTTGGGGGGGGGGGCCGGGTGTCTTACTTTCTAGCCCAGGCTGGCCTCAAATTCCTTAGCCTCCCGAGTGCTGGGATTATAAGTGTGTGTCACTGCAGTCTGCCGAGCAGGGAGTCTTAATTGAGGGCCAAGCCTTTGCTCTGTGTTTGTGGATGCTGTGTAAATGGGCATATGTGGACCTCTTTGTGTGTTTTCCAAAGGCAGGCTTCATGTAAACAGCAACTGCTCTGTTCATGAGGACTGTTCAGGAAGGCACACAGCAAAAGGCTACTCCAGTGCCCAAAGAGCCCAGCTACCCTGATAAGCCTTTCCCTCCCCAGATGTGCTTCTGAACCCAGCTCCAGCGATTGCTGGTCAGAATGTGGAGCCTGGGAGGATGGGGGCGGGGGTGGGGAATGTAGGGCCCGAACAGAGTTGAGAGAAATTATTTTGAAAATCATTTGGGGTTGAGAAAGTCGGGAAGCAGTGGGGAATATCCCTGGGCAATCCAGTTGGGTAGATATCAGTAGCTCCCTCCTGAGTAGCCAAGAAAGCAAGGAAGGCCCAAGACAAGGCCTCTTCTTTCCTGGCCATCTCCCTTCCTTCCCAGTGGGGTGCTTGGTTGCCAGAGCAACAAAGTCTGAAGCTCATCTCTCCTTCCCCACCTTAAGGGCAGCCAGGCCAAGGCAGGGCAGGGGTTCTGTGGTGGGGGATCGGGTGGGGGTGCCCAGCTGCTGCTTGTCTCTGGGCGGGGGCTGGGGAGCGAGCAGAGTCACAGCTGGTGGCAGCCTCCAGCTGCACCTTATCCATCCCTGGCAGTGGGAGCAGGATGTGGCTGGAATGCTGAGCGGCGCCAACGGGAGGAGGGACGGGGCCTGCAGATGGTTGCCCAATCCGCCCAATGCCAGCCCTTCCAGCTGAGACCCGGAGCCTTTGCCTAGGGAGAAAGAAGGAGGGATTCATGTCTGGGCCTTGGAAGAGAAAGAAGAAACAGACAGTGGGTGTCCTAGAGGTAGGGGTGCGGTAGGGGCGGAGTTAGGGGTGCAGTAGGAGCGGAAGTAGGGATATGCTAGGAATGGTCATCTTAAGCAAGGCTGGACACCTGGAGTAGGAATCTGTAGAGTGCCCACAAGATTACTCTCGACAATCCCCTAATGAAGGGGTGGAGTGAAGGAGGTAGGCCTAGAAGGGGATAGGGGATACCTCCTCAGGGTTCTAAAGGGAGATAAGAATATTCTGGAACACTGCGGGGAGGGAGGTGCTAATCTAAAAGGAAGTGAGATCCTGGGGCTCAGACTGGGGACAGAGAGGTCATCTAAAGCCACCAGAGGGCTAGCTA